CATGGGAAAATTATCTAAAGCAATCATACAGAAAGCCAACAGTGGTCGACGCCATGTTGAATTTCAACCTAAACATCAGATTACAAGACTTGTATGCAAAAGAGGATTTCAAGACTACAAGAAATCAGTTCCTACAAAGAAGAAACCTCGACTAAAACGCATAAAGACACATCACATTGATCCTGGTAAATGTTTCACAAGTTTTTCTTTCAACACAATAATTCTCTTTCTTTTGGATTTTCATATTCGAGGACGATTCCTTTTAAGGAGTGGGGGAATGATACATGCACCAGGGTCCATAATACATGCTTCTTTGGACTAATGTTTCTCCTCGAACCTATTAGAAGAACAACGTCTCAAAGATTCAAAGCATATCTATTCAGTAAGTATAATGTGAATGAATCATTAAACGATTCTAATGTTGCTCCCTTTAATGTTTCAAATTCGAGGTCAAATATTTTTGAAGAAAGGGAGGATGATACATGCATCACAAGGCTCACATCAAAGGAAGAAGTAATAACTCTTCCAAATGATCCACTCGTCCAAGCATTGGAAAAGAAGATCAGAACAGAAGCATAATTGCGATGACTTTTTGAATGGGATCCTGATCTTATTTGGTCAATATGTCCTGGATATATGACCATCTATCTCTTATCTTTCTAAGGGTTCTTGAATCACATCAATCCGATATCGGGAACTCAATATATGTCCATTTTACTGAAGATGATGCATGCAGAAAATCCTATACGGGATTAATACGTGATTTCGTAAATATTACGAATTTTCAATATTTATATTGATTATTTGTAATATAATTTAATATAGGATGAAGAATTATCTTTTAGGATCAGATTTATTATTTTATTAGGAATTAAGGTTTGGTTATTATTATTTTATTAGGAATTAGAGTTAAGACATGTGAGAGAGATCTTTCAAGTTCTTGTGAGGGAGATTAATCTTCACACTCCAATTTGCCTTTTCATCACGACTAGGAGGGTTGGTTATAGCCATATTATCATGTTTGCCTTTTCATTGCGACTAGGAGGGCTCGATAGGGCATTATTCATCGATTTTCCACATATACATCCACACCATCAATCATTTTTACCGTTCACCTTCATAAGAGAGGTCTTTTGATTTCTTGGTTATCTTACTTTATTTTAAATCTCTTTATCTTTTGTTTATCTTGTTCTAATCTTGTTTCTTACCTTGTTTCCAGCACCTAAAAGAAACCCTAAGAACCCTACTTGCTGCCGCCACCTTCCCATATTCATTCCCCATTATTCTTCATCGAGTCTAGAGCTTTCTAGGTTTGATTCTTCAACAAGAGCAACGTTCATTACCCTCCACCACTTCCTTATCATCATGGTTATATCTATATAGTCGTGGACATCTCCTGGTTCTGTAATATCTTAGAGAACTATGCCCCAATAGTCTCTTTGAAGCGGCTCCACTTCACTCTCACATAAGTGACTTATGTTATTCGGTTCAACGAAACGCATATTGGTCATTAAAAGTATTGCCTAACCTTATCAACATTTTAGCCACTATTTTAACCCTCCACAGTGACCTCACGAAGTCTATGCAAGTAGGTTGTCCCATTGAACATAGATCTTAGGATCTCCAGTCAACTAGGTTGGGTTTTCCTTCACATAGAGCCTTAATAATTCATGGGCTTTAGTCCCATTCCTCTTGATGTTTTATCAACTTGATCTCGATTCAACCCTTTGGTTAGCGGATCTGCAATGTTATATTTTGATCTTATAAAATGAATAGAAATAACTCCAGTTGAGATCAATTGTCTAATGATATTGTATCGACGTCGCATGTGTCTTGACTTACCATTATACATTACATTTTGTGCTCTACCAATTGTTGCTTGGTTATCAGAATATATACATATTTTGGGTACAGGCTTTGGCCATTTAGGAATATCCTCCAAAAAAATTTGTAACCATTTTGCCTCTTCTCCAATTTTGTCCAAGGCTACAAACTCATATTCCATCGTGGATCTAGTTATAATTGTTTGTCTAGAGGATTTCCATGACACAACTCCTCCTCCCAAAGTGAAAATATAACCACTTGTGCCTTTGGTATCTTGAATATCAAATATCTAACTGGCATCAGAGAATCCTTCTAACACAGTAGGATCTCTAGAATAATGCAATCCATAGTTTCAAGTATATCTGAGATATCTCAATACCCTTATAATTGATTTCCAATGTTTCTCCCCTGGATTGCTTGTAAATCTACTTAAACTGCTTACAGTGAAAGCAATATCAGGTCTAGTGCAACTCATAAGGTACATTAGACTACCTATGATCCTTGCATATTCCACTTGATTAACACTTTCACCTTTATTTTTAGATAGATGTTGACTTGTATCTATCGGAGTTTTGGCTACACTAGAATCATCCTTGCCAAATTTTTCAAAAATCTTGTCTACATTGTGTGACTAAGTCAATATGAGACCTTCAGATGACCTTTTGATTTGGATGCCCAAAATCATGTCAGCAAGTCCCATGTCTTTCATGTCAAATTTTGAATTTAACATATTTTCGGTACGTTTTATCATTTCATTGTTACTTCCAACAATGAATATGTCGTCAACATATAGACATAGAATTAAATATCCATCAACAATGATTTTGACATACACACATTTGTCACACTCATTTATTTTAAATCCATTTGATATCACAACACTATCAAACTTTTTCATGACATTGCTTTGGTGCTTGCTGAAGTCCATATAATGACTTTACCAACTTACATACTTTCTTTTCTTATCCTGAAGCTACATAACCCTCATGTTGTTCCATATAAATTTCCTCATCAAGGTCTCCATTAAGAAAAGTGGTCTTAACATCCATTTGATGTACTTCTAAATTTCGTTAAGCGGTAGTTGCAATTATCATTCTTATAGAAGTTATTCTTGATACGGGTGAATATGTATCAAAGTAATCAAGACGTTCTTTTTGTCGGTACCCTTTAATAACCAATATGGCCTTGTACTTATCAATTGTTCCATCTGCTTTCATTTTTCGTTTCAAAATCCATTTAGAATTTAATGGCTTAATTCCATGAGGAAGATCCACTAATTCTCACGTATGATTTTGTATGATGGAATCAATTTCACTCTTGATGGCATCTTTCCAAAAATTACTTTCAGATGAACGTATAGCTTCACTATAAGTTACAGGTTCAGTCTCTAGCATATAGGTTAGAAAATCCGATCCAAAGGATTTTTCTACCCGTGCCCTTTTACTTCTTCTTGGCTCTATCTCGACTTCAACCTCTTGTTGGAAGTCTTGACTATTTTCATTAATAGTTTCTAAAGTTCTTTTCCTTGAACTCTAGCCAACTTCTCTAATTTTACAAGTTCTTGTGAATTTCTGGATTCTTTGATTCATGCACAAGAAATCGACATGCATTGATGTGGTGAGCATAGCCAATGAAAATACAATCCACTATTTTAGGACCTATTTTCATTTGCTTTGATAAATGAGCCATTACCTTTGTAAGACACCCCCACACTTTCAAGTAATTGTAGGAAGGTTTCTTGCCTATCCACAACTCATATAGTGTCTTGTCTTTTTTCTTGCGGTGCACCTTATTTAAAAGGTAATTTGCTAATAAGACAGTTTCCCCCACATGTTCTATGACAACCCAGAACTTCCTAGCATATCGTTCATAATTTCTTTTAATGTTCGATTTTTCCGCTCTGCTACTCCATTCGATTGAGGAGAGTATGGTGGTGTTACTTCATGAATAATACCATGTTGTGCATAATATTGACCAAATGGTTCAACATATTCACCACCACGATCACTTCTCAGCCTCTTAATCCTTTTGTTAAGTTGGGTTTCAACTTCCTGCTTATAGAGAATAAATTTTTCTATAGCTTTATCTTTGCTTTTAAGAAAATATACATAGCAATATTTTGTGCTATCATTAATGAAGGTAATAAAATATTTATTCCCTCCTCTAGTTTGAACAAATTTTAAGTCACAAATATTATTATGTATTAGATCAATAGGTTCTGTATTTCTTTCAACGGGTTTAAATGAAGACCTTGTTAGTTTAGCTTCAACACATGTTTCACATTTATGATTATAATTAATGTGAAATAGGGGGATGTGTTCTAAGTTAATTAATCTACGTAAAGTATCATAATTAACATGTCCGAGTCTACCATGCCATAAATTTAATTACTCAATCATATAAACAGAAGAAGAAGAAGAATCATTCTTATATATATTTTTAGCTTTTACAGAGAAAGCATTGAGTTTCCACATATTGTTCAATACATATCCCCTTCCCACAAATATTCCTCCTTTTGATAAAAGTAACTTCTAGGATTCAAACACCATCCTAAAGCCGTGTATACTTAGGAGGGTCCCAGAGACAAGGTTCTTTCGTATGTTAGGCACATACAACATGTTTTGAAGTTTCAACTCTTTGCCAGAAGTCATCTTTAAAATTACAGTGCCTTTCCCCTTGATCTTGGAAGTTGCAGCATTGCCCATATAGAGCTTTTCTCATTTCTCACAAGAAACCAACTCTGCAAAGGAGTCCTTGTCACAACAAATATGGCACGTGGCACCAGTATCAAGCCACAATTCTCTTGGATTTGAATCAACCAAGTTAACTTCAGATACCACAACACATAGGTCAAGTTCAGATACTTCCTTGGAAATTTCTGTCACAACATTAGCCTCTTTTATTCTGGACCTTTTTAGAAGCCTACATTCGGATGACATGTGTCCCATCTTATTGCAATTAAAGCATTTCCCTTGGAATTTTTTCTTCTTAGAAACACCGCCTTTTGGTCTTAATTTAGACTCAATTTGAGCTTGTTTTCTTTTCTTGAAGTCCTTTTTGACTTCCACCACATTTGCATTGGCAATGTTATGATTGGTTGTTTTGTTTAGCCTTTTAGTCGTACATCGATTGTCTTCTTCAATCTGAAGTCTCACAATCAGATCTTTCACTGTCATTTATTTTCTCTTATGCTTAAGATAATTCTTAAAGTCATTCCAAGCAAGCGGAAGTTTTTCAGTAATGGTTGCCACCTGAAAGGATTCACTTATAATCATCCCTTGTTCGAGAATACCATGAATGATCAGTTGGAATTCTTGCACTTGATTCACAACAGTTTTAGAATAAGCCATTACAAAGTTTAAGAATTTGGCAACTAAGAATTTCTTAGCACCAGCATCTTCAGTTTTGTATTTATGGTCCAATGATTCCCATAGTTCCTTAGCTATTTTCTTTATGTTGTATACTTCATAAAGTGCATCAGATAAACCATTCAAGATGTAGTTACGGCATAGGAAATCAGAGTGCTTCCATGCTTCGGTAATATTGAATACAGTTGCAGCATCCACTTCATCCTCTCTAATAGTAGGAGGATCATCCTTAAAAAATTTGGCCAGATTAAATGTCGCCAAATAGAACAACATTTTCTGTTGCCATGTTTTGAAATTCTCTCCATTGAATTTCGCAGGCTTTTCATTATGACTTATGGTCATATGTAACGTTTGGCTCGCAACCTGAGTCTGTGTAGCGACAATATCATTAGATTGTGAATTGGATGAAGTATCAGACATTTTTCTGTAATTAGAATCAAAATCGAAATAATAAATATAATATGAAACAAATATATATTAACCTAAATATATTACCACGGTAATCTGTTTGAGTTTAGATTGAACTACAACACAGGGAATATGTCTTAAGATTGTTGCAAAATATTGAAAAATAGTGTTGCAGTATTATAATCTAAAAATTTTGTTTCAATAAAAAAGTTTAAAAAATGTGAAATTAAAACAGAACCTGTAATCGGATGGAACTTAATAAATAGAAGAAGAGTTTTGTTGAGGCCTGAATGAACAGTTTACTTAAGACAGATTTGTCCTCTCCTCGGTGCTTTGAGTAGCGTTGGACGTCGGTCTCCCAGGATACAACAACAAACGTTCACAACAGTAAGCACAACCGTAGTGAGAAATCGAACACAATCTTTGTCTTTATCTATCACCGGAAAATGACTTTGGAAGAATCGGAGAATTGAAATGAAAGTACTTGAAAGAAATTAGTAAAAAGTTGTGTGTTGAGATGTGTCACAACTTAGCCTTCATATAGGGAGAGGAATTTGTATTGAAAGGTTAAGGCCTTTAAATGAAATATGTTCACAACAGTAAGCACAACTGTAGTGAGCAATCGAACACAATCTGTCTTTATCTATCACTGGAAAATGACTTTGGAAGAATCGGAGAATTGAAATGAAAGTACTTGAAAGAAATTAATAAAAAGTTGTGTGTTGAGATGTGTCACAACTTAGCCTTCATATAGGGAGAGGAATTTGTATTGAAAGGTTAAGGCCTTTAAATGAAATGACTTAACCATTTGATTAAAAATCATAACTTTTTGATCAAAAGGTTAATATGAAAAGACATAACTTTTGGGGTGAAATGAAATAATTATTTTCATGAAAAAACTTAATTATTTTTCATGAATAATCATGATCAATTCATTCATATTTTTTCAACATAAATAAAATATGATTATGCTAAAACGAAGGTTGCCAATAGTACGTGTTGTATTCATTGTTCTTGTTTTGGAGTTCAATATGTATACCTATTAGGTACAATGACGGATATAGAAAATTAAAAATTAAAAATTAAAATTTTAATATTTTTTAATAAGATAAATATATATAGCTTTTTTTGTTCTCTTAACACATTAACTAAATTTAATAATTTAATTAAATTAATGGGATGCAGTTGCCCCTCTAGGGAATTAATGCATCCTTCACTTATGAGATCAATATAGAATTTGAGTTAAATTTATGTATGATATTAATATGTTTTATGTTTATATAAGTTGGACTAAATATACGAGTCTCAAATTTTCTTGGTTTACGATTAGAACGTACCAACGAATACAATCGGTATAGAATTATTAGCATGTACGGTAAGTAAAACCCAAAACCTGAGAGTCACCACGCATCAGCGGGGCGTAGATTCTGACCAACGAGGTGTACTGAAGCCATACATTGATTTTGGGGGTTTGGTAGGACGTTTCTGTTGAAGATGTGAAGCAGGTGGTGGCGGTGGACCCGAAAGCCGTACTTACGGGTACGACATGAAATGGGTCGACATTGGACAAAGGGCGGTGTCAGTTCCAAACTGAAAACCAGAAAGGACAATTAATAGTCGGTTTGGAAGTCAATAACAAACAATGCTAATGGAGGACAGACAGACCGAAGTGTGTGCAGGATCCAGCTGTTTCAGTTAACTCCTTGACTTCCATAATCTCCAATGATTCATTTGGTGGTATGTTCCAATCAATCTCAGACTTCAATCTTAAATAAAGGAAAACAATTTGCTTATATATTTAATTTTCCATATGCGTTTTTTTTTAAGATTTCTTGGAATCTATGGTTTGCATGCATCGACTCATTTTTCTAAAAGCTGAGGTGCTTCATTGGAAAGACCCTAAGATGCATTTGTGTTCTACTTTCTACCTATTGAAATGCCTAATCCAAATACATGATTTCTTTTATTATTAAAAGCAATTTGGTATCAAGAAATATATTGTATATATTAGAATCTGAATCATCTGTCTACCTAATTATTATTTCCTAAATATCCTATTAAACCTATCGATTCTTCTTGATTAAAAGAAATCTTTTCTTTTCTTTTAATTGTTTTGACTTTATGTAGAGTATTTGTACATCGTTAATATTAAGAAACATTTTAAATAAATGTTATATTATAATCACACCAAATTTTAAAAAGTACATTAACTTTTTTTTTTTGAAAGAGAGTTTTGTATGATATTATTAAGCACAACCATATAAAATAAGACAGAAACATAGACAAGGTTAAAAAAACCACCCTACACCTAAAGGAAGAAAAAGAGTGCACCATGCTCATCGAACTTATCAAAACGTAACATATTGAGAATCATCTTTGCCAAACTCTCCAAACCAACTCACAATAACATAATAAGTGCATTACCGTCTCTTTTTTCCTTATGACACAACACAAACAAACAAGAATCCAATTTTGTTACACCCTGTTTTTTTAATTTCTATAAGGACATGAAGTCTTTATAAAACAACTCTCCAAATGAGGAACTCAACTTTCGGAGGTGCTTGATTCTACCACACCAACTTCCAAAATTTGTCACACTCATCCTCTACAAATATTGCATTAGAAAAGAAACTTCTTGGATTATACAACCCATTAGACCTGGAAAACTTGACCCGAACCCGATTACTCGAACAGATTTACCCAGCCCAATACCTGATATTAACACGAACATGATAATCAAATTTGATTTGATACCCGACCTGAACCATACCCGATCCAAAATTTAGTGAAACCGAAATCAACTAGAACCAAAATTAACCCAAACCAAAACCGAAATTTGCCCAAATCAAAAACAACCCGGACCGAATTTTAACCCGATCCAGAAGAAACCCGAACAAAAATTAACCTGACCCGATAGTCTTCTAGATAATACTCTGGATAAGATCTTGTATAGACTTCTTACTAAAGATATGGGTCTAAAATTGTCGAAGCTTTCAGGAGCACACTTCTTAGGAATGAGAGCAATAAACGAATGATTGAATAAGTGATCCATCACATGTCCTTTATAAACGATTCGAAAAAAGAAATAATCTCCCCTTAACAAACACCCAAATCTTCTTAATGAAATCTAGATTAAAACCATCGGGTTCGGGTGCCCTAGAACTATCAACCGAATTAATTGTACTCCACACATTTTCTTCCGAGGGCCTCAATTGCTCTCTTCAATGTCAAACTGAGTTTTCTGAATTACACATTAAACTTTTTCACAAAAAATGTACCATCCTCGTTGAAGCTTTTCTTGAAATGCTTCTCAATCACTTTGGTAATCCTCTTCGTCTCCTTAATTTCTTCATTACCAACCCAGATTCTAGAAATGAAATTCTATCGGTTCCTTAAATATGCGAATAGGTGGAAAAATTATGTTGTGATCACCCTCATTGAACCACTTCAACCTCGATTTATGCAGTCATTCCCTTTAATCTCTTCTATACGTCGACCATAACTTACTTTTAATTATGCATATCTCATCTTGAATGCCTTTATTATTTCCTGACACCATCACAAAAACTTTGAGCGTTCTAATATATTCTCCATATCCACTAGACTCTCGAAATTTTTAGATTTTGTTTCTACCACCCACCCCTTGATTGCATCTTTCACCTCCAGAAAAGTATTCATTCATTTGCTTTTGTAACACCCATAACCCTAGGGATGGCAACGGGCCGGGTTCGGGCCAGGTATTGGTCCCCCGTCCCCGTCCTCATTTAAAAAATCCGTACCCGTCCCCGCTTAAAAAACCACGGGGATTTAAACGGGGATCCCCATCGGGTAATCGGGGAAAACCACGGGGAAACGGGTATCCCCGTTTAGCATAAACGGTTATTTAAACGGGTATCGGGCCGGGTATATATATTTAAATTAAATATATAAATATTATATATATTTTTTTTAATTTAAATTAAATTTATTAATATTATATATATATATATAATATTTATTTTTAATATTTATCGGGTTGGGTATCGGGCCGGGTAATCGGGTAATCGGGGCGGGGATTACTAAACCCGTCCCCGTCCCCGTTTAACATAAACAGTTTTTCCCGTCCCCATTTAGCATAAACGGTTTTTTCCCGTCCCCGTTTAATTCGATTTTCGATTTTCCCCGTCGGGTTCGGGTTTTTTTGCCATCCCTACATAACTAGTATAATTATACATATACAGATTATAGATGTCACCCGAATTTCGAAAACCATTATATCATTTCAAAATCGATTTAAACTTTATTTCCTTAAAATGATAAATGATATTATCAAAATTATCATATCATATGAATTATGATTTGTTATAACAAATTTAAGGCAAAAGATTTTTTTATAAATAGTGATGAACAATACCATGAACATTGAACAATGTATCGATGCACTATTACAATAACATGAACAGTGTACCGATGCACAACAATTTCGAATAAAAAATGTGTATCGATGCACTGCTACAGTAATTTCAACAAAATATAAAACTCATAAAATTACCATTTTGTTTCCAAATTTGTTCAACAAAACAAATAAAACATTAATAATTACATGTCGCTATCTAAGTCAATATTTCATCATAGGATGTCTTACTGATATTGTAGGGTATTCTTGGATGCTCGAAGTGTCTTGTACTCTTTACTCTATTCCTGGCTTTTTACCTACGCGTAAAAATCATCACACGCTAAGTATAAACTTAGTGAGGCAATTAAAACAATAAACAGTGCAATACAATTCATGCATGAATTTCAATGTCAAAATCAAAATGCCTTAAAATCATGTTACCAACATATTTTTACCATGATCAAAATAATATAACTGAATATAAAATTTTCTTACCAATATACTTGTCATTTATTCCATAAGCAGGTAAGCTTATTTGCATACTTACAATTTATTAACCAATAAACCATAAACCATAGACAATAGCCCAATATAACACCTTGAGGACCCTGAGTCTTCGAGTAAAATACATGCACCG